AATTCGGGTGAAAAGCTTTCAAAATTCATAATTAATTCATCTGGACTACAAACGAGGTGAACCATATATGTTTTTTGATCAGCTCGATGAGATAAACGCAATGGTGAAGTACGTTCTTGCATTTGAGGAAGTTGATCAAGTCGGCTTAGTCGACTTAGCCGACTCTGGCTAGATCAGGTCCCGAAAAAGTTGTTTCCTTCGCCCGGGCTTCAAATACGATGATCAAGTATCCTTTCTGGACATCTTGATGATAGAAATATGATGGAGAAGTCCATTTTGCACTTTGGACACTTTTGATTGTGAACCGTTCCGATGGAGACATAAGATTAGGACTACTCGGAGGGCTTATGGACATTTTGACACTTCCAAATTCTAACAGCCAATCACAATAAATTTACGATGAGGATTGATTCTGCAGTGATTCCGGTGAGAATTGAATATTGAGCTATGGAGCGTGTTTTTTCAGCACCCAGAAATCAAGAAGTGATTCACATCTGCTTACCATTAAAATTTGTATAGATTTTTTTTTGTCTGGCAGAGAAGTATTGCGTTCATTTTCTTACCTAGCAGTAGATCTCAAAGAACAAACGTCCTGTATAAATTTGCCGTACTGCCTTATGCTGTCGCCGGAATCCTACTAGCTACAACTAGCTTTGACGTATGTTTCGACTTTTCGTGTGCTATAGACCTCGAACAGAAACTGCCGTGCAATTGGCGTTGCGTTTGTTTTGCGTCGATCGCTTCAGGGGAAAGAGAGAACAAACGCGTCGTCGTCGTCGTCGTATCCTTTTCAAAATCTCTCCAGAGTCCAGACTCCAGTAGTCCAGTTTACACGTAACCCCCTCGCGCTTTTAACAACTCCCTAATCCATCCTACCCCGATCTCCTCTCCTCTTCCCCCAAATCTCGGGCACCGCCGCAACCCTAGCCCCCGCGATCCGCTCGCCGGAGGGAAGGAGGGAGCCCCAGCCGACGCCCATGGAGGTGAAGCTGTGGAACGACAAGCGCGAGCGGGAGCTCCTGGAGAGCTACGCGGACCTGTACGCGATCATCAAGGCCACGGAGAAGCTGGAGCGGGCCTACGTCCGCGACCTCGTCTCCGCCGCCGACTACGAGGCGGAGTGCCTCAAGCTCATCTCCCAGTTCAACTCCCTCTCCTCGTCGCTCGCCGGCGCAGTCACCGTCCCGCGCTTCGTCCAGGCGTACCGCCTCGATTGCCCCGCCGCGCTCAACCGCCTCCTCCAGTCGGGCGTCCCGGCCACCGTCGAGCTCCGCGCCGCCTCCGCCTCATCCGCGCCGGCCGCCACCGCCGCCTCCGGCGCAGCCATCGCGCACTGCGTGCAGACTTTCATCACCGCCATGGACGCAGTCAAGCTCAACATGCTTGCCAACGACCAGGTCCGCCCCCTGCTGCAGGACGTCGCCACATCCATGGCCAGGCTCGGCCCCCTGCTGCCGCCCGACTTTGAGGGGAAGGTCAAGGTTAACGAGTGGCTTGGCAAGCTGCATAAGATGGGGGCCGCGGATGAGCTCACCGAGCAGCAGGCCAGGCAGCTCAACTTCGACCTCGATTCCGCCTACAGTGCCTTCTTGGCCGCGCTGCCCGCTGCGGGTCTGTAACCGGGCAAGGATCTGCCCTTATTTGGTTGGTTCGTTCTATTATCTGGAGCACTACTCTCCACTACTGTAGTACTATAGATATCTGTAATTTCGGTACTGCTATTTTGTTGTTAATAAGAAAGTTCTGTTTTCTTTGTATACAGTAAATGTGTTTATTGCATTATACATTCACGTTATAATGCTTGCAAATGGCCTGTTTATTTGGGTACATTTATTCTATTCTCTGTGGAACATATGAAGCAATAACTGCATAAGATATTGTTCTCTACCAATATATGTCATTATCTTTCTACTTGCATGAAGCCATGAATGATCTATTTTCTTCTTTGGGTTACAAACAATCTAAATGAAGAAGAATGACTTAGTTGACGACTTGGGTGATCTTCGAGTAGTTGAAGCTCGTTTGATTTGGCAATTAGTTGTTCATAAACAGTGGGCATGATATGCTCACTACCTTGTACTCCACTTGCTAATAATCATGTGCAACAGCATGCCACCTTATCTATTACCCCATTATATTGATCTTGTTGGGAATAAACAGAAAATATGATTCAAATTAGAAATTACTATTATTTCAGTTCCTGACACATAACTTCATAATAACAAAATCTTGTGATGAGTTTTTGACTGCAGATCAGTAATGCACTGCTCTAGATGTGCATTTTTTATCGTGCTATTTTGTCTTCTGATGACAAAAGTGTTGAGTTTATACTGACCTGATCTCTTGTCAATGAATTCTGCAATATTTGTATGTTATATGCTACCACATATAATAATTTATGCATGATACCACCTTATCAGTAAGTCACTACCTTGTACTTCACTTGCTAATACCACCTTATCTATTACCCCATTATATTGATCTTGTTGGGAATAAACAGAAAATTTGATTCAAATTACTATTATTTCAGTTCCTGGCACATAACTTCATAATAGCAAAATCTTGTGATGAGTTTTTGACTGCAGATCAGTAATGCACTGCTCTTCTTTTATCGTGCTATTTTGTCCACTGATGACAAAAGTGCTGAGTTCATACTGGTTTGATCTCTTGTCAACGAGTTCTGCAATATTTGTATGTTATATGCATTACCACTTAATTTATGCATGATGCCATATACGGTAGAATGCTTGCATATGGCCTGTTGATTTGGATATATTTCTTACCATTGGATTATATAAAAGCAGTAAGTGTAAATTACATAGTTATTTGCCGTAGACCTCATGATCTTTCTATTCGTAAGAATGATGCAGTTGTAATTGTTGATATGTGCTATTGGTTTTGTTGATTCCTTTTTTGTTCTCAAGATCAATTGGACAGAGAACATATACCTGCAGGCTGCAGTGCACTCAATTTGAGTATGGTTTGTCGTCTTTGAATGTTCTTTGCAATAGCTGACCTGCATGCTTTTGTCAGAAAAATCATATTCAGTGTCTGCCATTGGGGTTGTTAACCCTTGCAGTTTGCAAGACCAGTATGTTCCAACATTGATACCACCCTAACAGACTCTCCCTTTTACTGATTACTGATTATATGTTGAGGTACTGGCAGGCAGTCAACTTGTTTTATTGTAGGATGTTATGGAACCACTTGAAACTGTTCCATGAATTTTTTTTAGACTTGCATGTAAGAATATGAAGTAGGCACTGTTGCCTATCAGTTTACTTTGAATCTTTATGATTAATATTATTTGCTAGTGTGCTCTGGTGTGCCTTTTGGTACAATTGGAAACTTGAGCAAAACAATTGGTTTAAGGCTTTCTTTGACATCAGAATGGCTTGAGTTTATTTTTTGTGTTATTACTTTGAGGTTTGTTAAAGCACTGTTTTATTTTTGGAACCATATCGTCAAAATCTGATATTTTTCATGTACTCTTGCTGTTCAACTTCTGAAGCTGTCCTTAAAATACTGGTTTTATTTTCGAGATGGCGTTTCTTGCCTTGCCTTGCTAGTTCTGCTAGAAAGGCTTTAGTACTTCCATCTGAACTCAGCATCACCATTCATGAATATGGGGAGGAGTATATTTTTAGAATTATTGGAAAGACTTTGCTGCGACCTTCATCTCTGTTTCACATTTTCAGTCTCACTGCGTCCTGTCATGCTCTCCAGAATTGTTGTAGTTCAAGAAATACCTTCATCTTGACCATGTAATATGTGTGCCTAGGTGGAAAATCATTTTACCCAATTGCAATTAGGTCCATATTGTCATTGGTTTCTTGTAGAACGAAGACCGAGTGGGTCATATTCTATTCTTGGTCACAACATCTACCATACAATTAACTTGATTGATGCTTTAGTTTTTTATAAGGCCAACGATGGCAATCAAAATAAAAAGAAAGTTGTGACATGGGTAGCGTGATCATCTACCATACAATTAACTTGATTGATGCTTTAGTTTTTTATAAGGCAATAATTGATGTTTTTATTTGATGTGCTTATACCAGCGGTCACTATCAGTAGGAGTCTTGTTTTTGTTTCTGTTGGGTGTACCTAGAGCTAAATCATGCAGCTAATTGCCCCCAGTGGGCTATTAACAACGGCTAAGTCTTCTCTGCAGGTAAGCTCAGCAATGCAATGAGTTCCCGAAAGGAAATAATTTGGGACAAGTGGGTCGAATATTTTGCAGATCCATCCTGACTGGCTGTTTGTACAGTCCTGCGTCTCATATTCATCTCTTGCAATACAGCACCTGCTCTAGAGGCGAGAGGTCAGTCCACTACTCCGGCAACCTCGCATCCTCTTCGTCGCCGGCTCCGGCAACTCTGCTTCCAGCGCCCTTTGGTATCCTCATCTGTGTAAACTCTCCAACTCTTCCTTTGGTGTATTGACTTCTTAGATATTTCCTTCTGTGTTCGTCTACAGATGCATCTATTCAGGAAATATAATCTGCTTCTAGGTTGTTTCTTATCTTGGTTTCTCTTACTAATTCATCTTGTCTTTTCTGACTCCACCAGGTTTTCCTGCCAACTCCATCGCTTTTTCCTAGCAGAAGTCCTTCCCTTGCTCATCTCTCACTCACTGGTTCTTCCTACATCCTACTCAAAAAAAGGAAAAAAAATTATAAAGCGTCTTGCCTTTACTCTTCCATTGTGTCCTATATTCCCATCTCCAGATACACAATTATCTGTTCATCCATTTCTCTTACCCATAGGAAAAGAGGAAAAGCTAAAAAAAAGCAAAAAGAAAAAAAAGTAGTGAGCGGGAGCTCTCTGCACCGGGTACGCCCTTTGAGTTTTTGCTTGTTTCCCATTTCCCAACACCTCGTGCCATTACCAATTCATCATTTTGTTCTCTTCTTTCTCATCTGGAGTTCTGGAAACACTTCCATCCAACATCTCTTCATTTGCAAAGGTGCCAATAAACACACAAACTAGTACACTTGGATGGTGGACGTGGCACTGGCCGGCTTACGGTGGGTGGTATCGCCAATTGTCAAGAAGCTCCTCGCTGAAGCTTCAACCTACCTCAGGATTGACATGGCGCAGGAGCTCCAAGAACTGGAGACCACCGTCCTGCCACAGTTTGACCTGGTGATTGAAGCAGCAGAGAAGAGTCCCCATAGGGACAAGCTGAAGGCATGGCTCCAGCAGCTCAAAGAAGCCTTCTATGACTCCGAGGACCTGTTGGACGAGCACGAGTACAACCTCCTCAAGCGCAAAGCGAAGAGTGGGAAGGACTCCGTACTGGGGGAGGATGCCTCATCCATGAAATCAACTATTGTAAAGCCTTTTCAAGCTGCAACGAGCAGGGCTCGCAACTTGCTCCCTGACAACAGAAGGCTAATTCACAAACTTCATGAACTGAAGGACATCTTGGCGAAAGCCAAGGATTTCCGTGAGCTTCTTGGCTTGCCAGCTGCTATCCCTGCTGTACCAACAACTGCTACTCCTCCCACAACGACATCACTTCCCACTTCAAAGGTGTTCGGTCGTGACCAAGATCGTGATCATGTAGTGATATTCTTCTCAACAAGTCGACAGCTCCTGAGGCAAGTTCATCTAGTTTTCAGGTTTGGCTATTATTGGAGCTGGAGGCATGGGGAAATCTACCTTGGCACAGTACGTCTATAATGACATGAGGGTAGAAGAATATTTTGATGTCAGGATGTGGGTCTTCATCTCACGCAAGCTTGATATACATCGTCACACGCGGGAGATTATCGAGTGTGCAGCAAAGGGAGAGTGCCCACGTCTTGATAGTCTTGACACTATCCACTATAAATTGAAGGATATGCTAGAAAAGTCACAAAAATTTCTTCTTGTGTTGGATGATGTTTGGTTTCAGGAATCTGACAATGAGACAGAATGGGAGCAACTTGTAGCTCCTCTAATTTCTCAGCAGGCGGGAAGCAAAGTGTTGATAACTTCTCGACGGGACACACTCCCTGCTGCTCTTTGCTGTAAGCAAGTCATTCGTTTGGGTAACATGGAAGATGCTGAGTTCTTGGCACTCTTCAAACACCATACCTTCTCTGGAGTAGAAATTGAAGATCAGCTGTTGCGGCTGAAGCTAGAACAGACTGCAGAGAAGATTGCTAAAAGGCTTGGACATTCTCCACTGGCAGCAAAAGTTCTGGGTTCCCGGTTGAGCAGGAAAAAGGATGTGAGTGAATGGAATGCTACTCTAAAGATTGACAATTTAAGCGAGCCCAGGAGAGCTCTGTTGTGGAGTTACGAGAAGTTAGATCCACTTACGCAGAGGTGCTTTCAGTATCGCAGCTTATTTCCGAAAGGCCACAAGTATAACATTGACGAGATGGTTCATCTTTGGGTTGCAGAGGGCCTCGTTGATTCATACAAACTGAGTAGGAGAATGGAGGATGTTGCAACTGAATACTTCAATGAGATGGTCTGTGGATCTTTCTTTCAGTTGGTTTCTGAAAGATATATTGGTCCATGGTATATCATGCACGATCTCCTTCATGATTTGGCAGTCTCACTGGCTAGAGAAGACTGCTTCAGATTAGAAGATGATAAGGTGACAGAAATACCATGGACTATTCGACATCTATCCATTCGTGTTGAGAGTATGGAAAAGCATAGACAAATTATCCACAAGCTACATCATTTACGTACTGTTATCTGCATCGATCCACTGATCGATGATGCAAGTGATCTTTTTTATAAGATACTGCAGCATATGGAGAAGTTGTGTGTATTATATTTGTCATTTTACAACAGCAGCAAGTTGCCTGAATCTGTTGGTGAGCTGAAGCACATCAGTATTTGAACCTCATCAGGACATTAGTTTCTGAACTCCCAAAATCATTATGTACTCTTTATCACTTACAATTTCTTTTGTTAAATGGCAAAGTCAAAAGTTTGTCCAACAAACTCTGCAATTTAAGTAAGCTACATCGTCTTGAAGGGTACGGTAGTTTCATCAAACATACTTGGTTGTATGAACGACCCCTTTGCCAAATTCCCAATATAGGCAAGCTTACTTCGCTCCAACACCTGCATGAATTTTCTGTGCATAAGAAGAAGGGATATGAGTTGCGACAGCTGAAGGACTTGAATGAACTTGCTGGTTGTTTGACAATAAAAAATCTTGAGAATATCACCGGAAAGGGCGAAGCCTTGGAGTCGAAGCTATATCAGAAAAATCGTCTCAAAGAGTTGCAGCTTGTCTGGAGTGGCGAGAATGATATGGATGCAGAAGATAGTTTACACTTGGATATTCTAGAAGGTCTGAAACCACCGCCTCAACTGAGTGGCCTCGCAGTCAATGGTTACAAATCTGGCTCATATCCAAGCTGGCTTCATGAGCATTCCTACTTTGAGAGTTTGGAGTCTTTCGAGCTTGCTAATTGTAGTGTGTTAGAAGGCCTACCACTTGATTCCGAGCTCCTTTGGCATTGCTCTAATCTGACGATTGACAACGTTCCGAATTTTAAGACTTTATCCTGTCTTCCAGCCGGCCTTACAAGCTTATCAATTAGCAGGTGCCCGCTGCTCATGTTTATCACCAAAAAGGAGCTGGAACAGCATGATCTGAGGAAAAACATAATTACCGACTACCTGGCATCTAAACTTGCATCGCCATGGGAGGTGGATTCAGGGTCATGTATTAGGAGTGTACTATTAGAAGAACATTCATCCCTGAAGCAGTTGGTGACATTGATCGATGATGACATATCAAAACATCTCCGAATTATAAAAATGGATCCTCGACATGAAAAGAGAGATGAATTATTTGTGAAAGAAGATACCATCAGGGCATGGCTATGTTGCCATGAACAGAGGATGAGGCTCATTTATGGAAGGAGCATTGCACTGCCACTGGTTCCAGCATCAGGGCTTCGGTGTCTTGGGCTTGACTCATGCAGTATTACAGATGGAGCTTTAGCTGCTTGCCTTGGTGGCCTGGCTTCATTGGAAACCTTGGCTTTAGATAAGATTATGACTTTAACTGCGCTTCCGTCAGAAGAGGTATTTAAGCATTTGACAAAGCTTGACTGCTTGTCCATCTCATCTTGTTGGTGTCTCCGATCATTAGGTGGCTTAAGAGCTGCTGCATCTCTCTTAGAGTCTAGATTTTATTTCTGCCCTTGTTTAGAGCTGGCACGTGGAGCAGAATTTTTACCGCTGTCCCTTGTTGAGCTCTTCATATGTGGTTGTATGCTTGCAGCTGATTCATTCAGTAATGGCTTGCCACAACTGAAAGACCTTAGTATGTTTTGTTGCAGAAGCTCCCCTTCCTTGTCGATTGCCCATCTGACCTCACTTAAAACATTGTCACTAGGTCATTTCCCCGATCTGTGCTTTCTTAAAGGCTTGTCTTCCCTGTATCTCCAGAACTTACATTTGACAGAGGTTCGAAACCTCTCTGTTGAGTTCATCTCACAGTTCCGTGTCCAGGAATCACTCACCGTTAGTAGCATCGAATTGCTAAACCACATGCTCATGGCAGAAGATTTTACAATCCCATTGTCTCTTTCTCTTCAAGATTGCAAGGAATCATCAGTTACGTTTGAACAGTCTGCAAGTTTCTCATCTGTCAAGCATCTGAGATTATGCGATAGTGAAATGAAGTACCTACCAAAAAACCTGAAGTGTCTGTCTAGTTTGAAGAATCTCGATATCCATGCCTGCCCCAATATATCGTCGTTACCAGATCTGCCATCCACCCTTCAGCGCATGACATATGGGACTGTGAACTCCTGATGGAGAGCTGCCGAGCACCTGATGGAGAAAGCTGGCCGAAGATTGCCCATATCCGCTGGAAGCAATTTAGATGAAGTGTGCCCATTTTTGCAACTAAAAGGTGAAAGATCTGGCTTCACTAATGCTTACGGAATATTTTGTTCAAGTAAGTGTATAAATTCTTGATGTCTGAAATACTTCCTTTTTCTTCTTCGTAACAACTACTGAACTAGTCTAATTTCTATAAGTTGATCAGCGACCTTGTTTACGCTGTAACGCAACATGTTACGAGCGGAGACATCCTCTCCACCTCGGCTCCATCGTCACTGGGGCCTCGACCTCAGTAACATGCTCTGGCCGATTGGCATGTTCGCTTGAACTTATCAGCCGGTTTATCAACCAGAATCTACAGTATTTTTCCCTCACAACGAAACAGTTTCAGCCAGCTTTAATACCAGCCGAACAGACCCGCTTGAACTTGTCTAGTTGTCTTCTCCAGGCGACCAGGCTCCAGCACCATGTGAGCCGCCAGGCTATGGCTCGTCAGCGAGAGTCTGGTGATTACCTGCTTGTTGGTTCCTCCAATCTGGAACCTGTTCTGTTCTTCTACTGTTTTATTCTTTTCCCCCCGTACGTTCAAATTTGTAACTGATGTCACTCGTGTTTTGTGCGGTGATGTTCTGGTACTTTCTAACTCTCTGGTTCCTTTTGGATAAAAGAACTGTAGACCTGTGATCATCCTTTTTCATGGGCAACTTGGAGGTCCCATTCTGTTTCTCATTATGCTTACTAGCTCGTCAACCCATGTTGCTACACGGGGCATCAATTTTAAGAGGGATTAATGTTTTTATAAAAGAGATGAGTATTGAAACTCATGGATAAATTTGGGAGCATATACATTGCTTATCTTTGCTTTCCGTCTTATTTTGTTTATTTCCAATTCAATACCTATAAAGATACTCTGATATCTTTTTGTAGTTGTGATAGAATTTTGCTCATTATATCAATTACTCTATATGTTTTCATATCCCGTTTATGATTCTCATCCATTTGTCATACGTATGTTTAGATTAGATGAAAAACCGACATTCCTGTCACACGGTTCGTCTGTGTTCTCCACGTGAAAGGAACAGAAGAGTGAGGTTACTCCGTCCATCCCAAAAAGCATGCTATTCTAGAACAGTGCTATGTTAAAGTCTATCGAGTTTGACCAAATTTATATAAAAATAGTAATATTTATCATGCTAAATATGTACTATTAGATTTGTGTTTTCATAATATATTTATTTGATGTCATAAACATTAATATTTTTAACTATATATTTGGTCAAACTTTAGGCATTGCAATCGGGAATACATTTAGAATTGCATTCTTTTTGGGACACGGATAGTATAGGGAGAGGCATAAAACAGGGCTGCGAAAGGAGTTAGCGGAGATATAGAGACTCCATTTTATAGGTGAATGAAGAGTGAGATGAAGGGGAAGAAATGGAAGAGGAGGCAACCAGAGGAGAGAGGAAGAGGATTGGCCAGGGAAGGAAAGGATTGGTTTGGGTTTGGTCCAAGGTGAGAAGGGAAGACGGAGTTGTAGAATTGATCCATTAGTGGAAACCAGAAAGAGAGAGTTGGGATATTGGGTTCAATTGGAGAGAAGCCCAACGCAAGTCGATTGTGGGGGTTTGATCCGGAGAAGGGAAATACAAGAAAGAAAGGAGGGAGGGTTTTGGCAAGGAGTCAATTAAGGATTTTTTTTAATTTTTTTTAGATTTCAAGCAATGGATATTTTGAGCATTTTGAGCTAGGGTTTTGCATGATTAAAGACCGATCACGATTTTTGGAACTTGGATTAGAGTGTGTGGTTTTGAAGGATTTGACTAGATTTTAAAGATTTGTTGGAAGCATTGGATTCGAGATTGGCGCTAGTCATTTGATATAGAGAATAGAGGCTCGATGCAGAGACAAGATTACGGTCTTCAAGACTTTGATCGGGGTTTTCTAGGAAATAGTATTTCAAGACTTGACAATGGATTTTGGAAGCTATGATTTTGGGTCAAATCTTAGGCGTATTTGAAAACATTTAAATTTTTATTTTGCATTCAAAGACATTATTCATTAGGTATGAAATGCATAAAACAATTGAATTAAATTCTAAAAAATAGAAACTCATATTTTTCACTATCTCAATTGTCAACATATTAAACAAAAGGTTAGGAAAATTTTATAAATAGTAAATCATTTATTTTCTTGAGTATTTTCTAGTCACATCCCAAATCGTAGATTTTGGGGCATGAAAGTTGAACTATGACCCCAAGAGAAACAAGTTCAAGCCCAAGATGGACAGGGTCAAGTGCTACAATTGTAGTGACTACGGTCACATGTCATATGATTATCCAGAAGCTAACAAGAAGAAGAGCTTTGGCAAGGGTAAGGGCGAGAAGGGGAAGGAGGAAGAAGACAAAGAAGAAAAGCCCAAGAAGAAGAGTAACAAGAAGCTCTTCGACAAGTCCTCATCGCCCAGAAGTAAATCTCAGAAGAAGACTTGAGCTCAAGTGAGGAAGACATGGTAAGTATTACCATCACTCATGGCTCTTCACCACTACCATCACCTTTGATGTGTTAAATGGCCAAATGTATGATAACAAATAGTAATGGTAGTGAAAGTAAAAGTGACGATGAGCTAACTTCTAATGACTTAATGAACTTGCTTAATGAGTTCACTGCCATCATCATGAAGCAAAAAGGGAAGATCAAGTCTCTTGAGACCCAAATGAGACCCTTGAGCTCAACCACTCCGCTCTCCTTGCAAAGCACAATTCAATTGCTAAGTAAAGTGTGCCAAACAAGGAACTTGAGAGCAAACACTCTGAGTTACTTGCTAAGTACAATGACTTAGCCCAAAAGCACAATGAGAAACTTTGCAAGGAGATAGAGAGTGGGTTTGCCAAGATCAAGGGCCTTCATATTGAGCTAACCAAGTCCCATGAAGAACTTGATCATGCTTATAATGCCATCCAAGAGGAATATAACACTCTTTGCATCACACACAATCAACTTGAGGTGGCATATAATGAACTTCTTGATGATGTTGAGGTCTCCAAGAAATCTAAGAAAACTTCACCCTCTAACGATGAACCTTGCAATACTATTTGTTTGTCCTCTATCACTTGCCGACTTGCAAGAAGAGAATACAAGTTCAAGGAGATGCTCCTTCAATCCTCAAGATACATCAATAGCTTGTCATAGGATACCAATTGTAGGAGGAGATGCTCCTTCGTCGGCATTCATGCCAAGAGGAAGCTCCCAAAGAAGATATGGGTCCTGAAGACATGTAGCCTAAACTTGCTTGGCTACCTAAGAAAAAGAGAGGGGCTCATGAGATAGGGGAGGTTGGAGGCTTGACGTGCATAGTTGGGATGTATCAATCTTTCAAGAATATTGCCAAGCATGAACCTCAGCGGATCATCTGGTGGGCCAAGATGGACTTAGTGATCAGTTGACAAAGTCTCTATAGTTCACCGTATGATCCGATGGGACTATGTGACCTACTAGCATATCATGCAACAGGGAATATCCTAGTATATTCCCAATAAATTGTTGAAGGAATCAACCAGCACAACGCCACCGTATGATCCGCCGTAGCCTTTTGGAAGCAGATCATTGCGTTTGCTAGCTTTTTTCAATGGTTACCAGTCTCTTTACCCTCTATATAAATGCTACCCCTAGCTCATTTGGAGTTGTTTTTTCTACCTCAATGTTGCCAACACTTCTGTACACGATAGTGAAGCATTTGTAGAGTTACTCAAGCTAAGAAGTGAGGATTGAGTGCTAGCCATGAGTGCTACCGATTTTCTTGCTTGGGTTTCTTGAGTTAGAAGTCTGAAGACTTGTTACTCTTGGTGTTTGCCAACACCTATATAGCTTGTTGGAGGACTTGATGACCATCCTCAGTGGTGTAGTTGTGAGGAGGCTCCAGAAGTTTGTACATGGTATTTCACCGTGCCAGAGTGGCAAATGAGTATTCACTAGTGGAGCGGTGCTTAACCAAGTCTTTGTGACTTCGATGCTTCAACGTGGAGGAGGGGGTTGTGGCAACAACCCGATACCATGAGAAAAAAATCTTGTCTCTTGTCCTTTCTTTTATTTGCTTTATTACTTTCATTGCTTTCAAGTTCCTTTGAGTGACAAGTAGGATTCATGGTAGTGTGTAGTTAGCATTGGTTTCTTTCTTGCTCTCTAAGGATATTACTCTCAGTGTGATCTTTGCTAAGGACAAGATTAGTTTGTTGGCCCTAAGGACCCATTAGATCGCTTTTTAGAAGAACTTAGGAGCCAAAAGCTTTGACGGTTTAGAATTTGTATAGGCTAAGGTTTGTCATTTCAAATTTGTAGATCCCAACTCACCCCCTTTAGGCCATTCGGCCCTTAACCCCTCCCCCTCTCCTGTCCACCCACCCACCACCACATCTCTTAAGCAGCTCTCAAAATCTTGGTAAATAGATAAAATTATGAAGAAATTATCATGTGCCTACGTTTTGAATTTATTTTCGAATGAAGTGGATTATAAAAAAATGTTTAAAAGCTGCGCAAACTTTAAGTGTCTTAATCTTTTTGAATCAAAATAGATCACTGGTACATTCAGAATAAATGTATAATGCCCAAAAGATATAATTAGGGAAGTGCACAGATATATGAACAGTTCCACCTATATTGTGTTTTTTTAACACCTAAACTGTGTTATTGGTCAAAACTTGTAAAGAACAACACAAAGTTATTGAGCAACAGTAGAAACAATCGACATGATCAAACTAACCTTAGGAGAGAGTAGAAAGGGCAGAAAGGAAGGGTCATTTTGGGGTGTTTGTTCTGACATACATGAATGACATAGTTCGTCTTAGCAAAATTAATTGTTTTTTCTAGATTCTGCTTTCATTGGCTTGGGGTGGGGGTTGGTCGTGGTAGTGGATATTGTAAGGTCCATTTCTTGTTGTATCTCCACTTCAGTATTTTCCTTCGAAGGCTTGGGACATTTGTAGGCAACTTCGTTTGGGCAATGGTATTCTTCAGCGAATCTTGTCAGGGCAATATATGGTAGCCAATGCTTGGTGCACTGTCAGCTGAATAGGATGGCCATAAGCCATCACGTCTTGATGTTCGTTTTTTCCGTATGTTCCTTTTCCTCTAGCAATTACCTCACCGTCCACGTCTATAATGCCACCCCTTTTTGGGTTCTCAACAAGCTGGCCTGGTGATAATTTAAAAGATCTCACCTGCAGAAGTCACCATAACTAGCATCATTTCCTTGATACTGATGTACTATTAAATTGAGAAGAGATGAAAGACCTGAACCATGATAAATTAATCATGCGGCACTGACAATAAGATATAAGTTGAAGTGCCTTATTTTCCACCGAACATCAGAATATTCAGTCAAAACATAACTTAATATGGTTTATTTAACCTTAGGAAAGTTTCACTGTAAGTTGCAACGTCCTAACGTCAGTGGATGAGAGAAACGAACCTTGAGATATGTAACATATGGTGATTTGACATAACTCCCGTCGCTCATATTCAGCAATAGAGCTAAAAGATCAGCCTTTGGACAATCTCTGAGTATGACTGCATCCATATAGCCATCTGAGAACTGCACAATAATCACAACATTCAACTTCCTTGAGTCGAATATACTAAATCAAGACTGACAAAAAGAAATCTAGAAGCAAATGGAAGTATGGAACTGAACACTCAAATACATGACGCATAATGATTTCTGTACCAACCATGCAGAATCATTCATCATGCTGATGGTCTAAGCGTACATTTAAACTTTTTTTACTACTTCTTAATGCTTGTCCTGAGAATTCAGTTCCAGCATCCAGAAAAAAACTCAATACCCTTGTGATAATAAAAAAAAAGTAGCAACTGAAAAGAAGTGTTTTAATCTTGAGAACTGTAGTTCTGTATAAACATTTTCTGAAGTTCATTTGGTGAGTAAACAAACTAGCTATTCCAGGTTTTGAAATTCAAAAGGAAACAGACACCCTAGACAAAATGTTACTATTGCAAGAGGCTATTCGGTTACCTTTGCCTCTGGAGCTGCCATGATATCCTCGGCAGCCCATGGCACATTGTTTACCCAAACTGAAATAAATGGGCCATCAATAAATCTCCAATCTGAAGCTTGAAACTCAACTGAAGGACCTGGATAACAAGATCGATGAGATTTTCCATTTTGCTCCACAGACTCTACAATGGAATTCTTGATTTGCTTGATGGGTTCTCCATATGCCTCGTAGCCTGGGGCAGGCACGAACTGAATACTTCCGCAGTATTTTCGCAAGTTCATTATGCGCACCACAGCCTGAAAAAAGGCAAGAGCTTTGTTAAGACTTCAGGCATCATTTCCCTAACAGCAAAGAAAACAAAATAATAAGGTAAGTTTCTGAAGCTAGAATTGATCCTATAGGACCAAACCATTTAATTACTTGTCGTAATTAATAACAAGTGTAAATGATGCCAGTAGCAAAGAATTGGACGAAGATTCAGAAAAAAGAAATGACAGGAAGTAAGGCCTAGGTACAACCAACAAAAACAAAAGCATAGGAGTAGATATTTAGATGAAAGGGTAACCGTGCAAATTTGTCAAGCACCACACTCTAGATCCTACTGTAAGTCCACATGCATTAAGGGGCATTTCAGAGATGATAAAATAGATAACTGTCAAGAAATGGTAATGGTTGAGCATATACATAGAAGTCGAAGCGTGCACTTCCCATCCATCTGTATTTCTCAGACTCGATATCTATATCGGCCACCAAACCTGAGATACTTTAAAGTTAATCAGATAATAATAATAAAAAGTTACATTAAAATCTGACTGTTTTATAAGTGCGTACCCCAGGTCATTAGCAAGACACTGAAAAATTTCGTGTCCCCTTGCAAAATGGTACAGACATCTAAGGACTGCTTGTGACCTGAACACCAAGAAATTCATGTTTCCTTCTCTCCACTGGAAAATCTCCATGCGTCATGTAGTTTTGAGCATGATAGGGGGAAAGAAATTAGAGAAGTAACCTTTGATTATGGCAAATACAGCATTTGAAACCGAGTATTTCTCACTGGCAGCATGCAGAAGTGATTTAGCCATGCCATTTCCTGTACCTGCACACATGACCAGGCCAGGCCTGTTTTGATCGCTTACTAGTGTTTTAAGTGGTACTCCCTCTGTTCCAAACTATAAGACGTTTTGGTTTTTCTAAATACATACATTTGTTTTCCTTATGTATTTAGACATAGTGTATATCGAAGTGTATAGTAAAAACTAGTATATATCTAGAAAAGACAAAACGTCTTATAATTTAGAATATAAGATTTTCCGTACCTGCTGGAATTACCCCGATAGGCATTTTTATTGCCTCCTCCCAATCTGTCCGTTGAAGAATTCCGTTCACTACCTACGCACGAAATCACAGCGTGAGAAACAAAAACGAACCTGATTTGAAAAATAATTTCAACTTTTTCGAAGGGAGAGACAGTACGGTATGAGAGTAGTACGCACGTTTCTCTCACTTTTTTTTTCCTAGCAACAGTACGTTTTCAGATAATATACTATTTCTTCACGAAATCTTTGGAAGGCACTTGTAATGTAAGGACGACGAATGGGTATCACGTCAAGTGCAAACAATGTTGACATAGGAACAACTAACAACGAATTCGCACGGTTTTGGATTTTACTTAAACAGCCGCACTCAAGATGAGCTCAGTAAAGTTTGATATTTATCGACGAATTAACACAATGAAGTCAATTGGCATTAGCTGGTATAAGGACGAACAAAACGCAAGTCAGCGCTTACATTGAAGGCCTGTCATGCCAGCTGTGAACACACGTTACCTACTTATTAAAAAAATTCAGACATCAGGCTGCATGATGTATCGCTAACCTCCACGAGGACGCCGTCGCCGCTAACGCAGACGACGCCGTCGTACTCCGCGAGGTCGAGGGAAGACGCCACCTCCCGGGAATGCCCCTGGTACTCGGTCTCTGAAACAGATCACGAACAAAACGGATCGATATAACCGCAACACCATGGGAAACGTTACTCCTACTCCTACTCCTACTTGGTCGTGGAAAAGCATCCACATTTATTTACATGCTGAACCTTGCAGTGTGATGTTCACACCCGCAGCTTCAAACAGAGGCTTGATTTCCGTGTCGTAGATCTTCTTGGCGCATTTCTTGCCGCCGAAAGGGTTGACGAAGACGAACAATCTCTTGGGCCGGCCTGTGCGTGAAATTTCATCACAGACGTGATTAGCTCATTAGCTGGTGCTGATCTTTCATCATTAATTAGACTGAAAGCTGGTACAGTGCAAATTAAAACAGGGGACTAGTTTCCATCTAGCCTGATGACTGCCTGATTGGTGAGCAGTGAAAGCACACGTACCGAAGGAGTCGAGGCAGCGTGTGAGCCTCTGGCCCCACGCCACGGCGGCGCCCTCGCCGTCCGCCATCTGGAGCACGAAGTCCCTCCTGCACCGCTTCCCTCCCGCGCCCGTGGCCGCACCCGCACACGACAGCGCCCTCGCCGCGCCGGCCGCCACGAAGGCCCTGACGACGACCTCCTTCCCCCTCACCTGGACCCCGAGCACCTCGCGCTCCAGCGACAGCGCCCGCTCCGCCCCGCCAGCAGCGCCGCAGCGCCACCGCAGCTCCACGTCGCTGAGCGTGGCTTCCGCCGGCGCGCCGTCCACGCGGACATTGGCCGTGGCGCGGTCCTCCATACGGAAGGGCGTGGCCGGGATGTTTTGGCGCCCGACGATGTCGAGGGAGTGGCGCGCAGGCAGGCAGGCGGAGTCGACGACGAGCACGGGCGAGACGAGGACGAGGCGATCGATCGATCGATGTGGAGTGGGGCGTAGGCGCGTACAGTAGCTTTCTACGGGCGGACGGCGCGGGGCGGGCGGGGCTTTGGCGTGTCGAGTTAGTTGTACGATGAGAACCAAGGCGTCAAGGTAGCGGCGGGTGCAATGATTTTCAGCTATCGCTCGATTCTTATCAGATTTTATCCGCGAGATCCTGACACACGTCACCCGGAAGCGTTTCAAACCTCTCGGGAGCTCGCGTGCCGTCCACGGCGACCTGTCCTCGCTAGCCTGGAGGATCATCACTCATCAGATTGAGGCGTACGGGGATGGTTCAGCGTTCTCATGTTCTGCTACGAAATACAAACGCGAGTGAAGGCGTTTGCATAACCTTTTATTTATAGTCAGAAGAGCTATGAACTGCGTCCGAGATTCTCGGAAGTTTTTAGCGCTGTTCGCTAATTTTTACTGGAAACGCTGAAGAAATGCCAGTTCTGCAAAGGGTTTTCCTGACGAAACGTCTCTTTCCAGGAATTGAGGGATTGTTTACCACACCAAATTCCGTATGCCATACATGTGGTTTTCAAAGTGAATGGACGTGCCAGACATTGTAATCTTCAAATCACGACTGATTCCGTCTTTAATTAAGATGGGGACATGCTGACTTCTGACGATGAGGATGCTATGCGTGCGTGGAAAAACAGTAGCGCAACGTGACTATTGGAGTATATATGGACCGCAAAAATAACTAAAATAGTGCATAGAAAAACAGTAGCGTAAAGTATTTCGACCGCAAAAATAACTAAAACAGTGCATACAAAACGCCGTTGCATCCTGATACTACTTAAACCAATGATTGCATCCTGATACTCCAAAGTACAGTTATTTTTTTCCGTTTCTTCACTTCATCTCTTGATAATGTGACGATGAACACTTAGTTTTCTTCATAATAATAATAAAAAGTCATTTAGATTTTTATTGCACTGTCCCAATCAGAAAGGAAGGCATGGTTTTTTCGTTTCTTCACTTCATCTCTTGATAATGTAACGATGAACACTTAGTTTTCTGCATAATAATCAAAATGTCATTTAGATTTTTATTGCTATGGCCCAATCAGAAAGGAAGGCGCGGCCTAATGGGCATGAAGGCATCGAGCCTTGGATAGGATAATGCAATTTGAAGAAAAAAATAGCAGAGGGGTCTATTGTGTGTGATAAAAGTAGCGAAGAATATAACAATTGTCGCAAACAAAGAAATGAACTTTTATATGCATGGCACTTACAATTACAAGCTACAACACTAAAATGGCACTTGACATGCTTTTTTCTTGAACAGACGGCACCTGACAAGTTATAACATGCACACGTGCTCACATTTTCTTCGGATCAATAGAACCTATTTGGCCCTATTTTAGCCAAGCACCAATTTCTTGTTCTATCCGGAAGATTTTAAACTACAAATTGCATCAAGTAATAACCAGCAAATCGCGTTTCAATTTATCTGCCCTGTGATCACTTCAGCAGGTACTGAAGACGCTCTGCTACATCTGCCATCTCAGGCCTTTGATCAATATCAGTACTAAGACTTTGAACAATAATTTCTGCCAAACTATGAAAAACCCCAGTGTTTCCAATCGCTGCTATTTCTGGGTCAACAAGCTCAATCACTCTCTTCTTCTTTGAGTAAGTATCAAGGGAATTCCCCAGTATGCTGTTGTTATCAGGATCTAAGGCCTTCTTCCTAGTAAAGAGCTCTAAGAGCACAACTCCAAAACTGTAGACGTCACTTTTACTCGTGTATAGGCCTGTCAGCACATATTCTGGATCCATGTAGCCCCAGTTACCAATGATAGTACTGGCGTAATTTTCATCAACGGTAATCATCCTAGATGTACCGAAGTCGGAGATCTTTGGCACAAAGTCCTCATCTAAAAGTATATTAGCTGGTTTAACATCGCCATGAAGAATTGGTGTAGTGATTTCTGAATGCATGTAAGCTAGACCCTTTGCCGATTGTGCAGCAATTTGTAGACGTAGATCCAAGTTGAGAGGCACCCTGTTGCTGTCATGCAGAATTCTGTCGAGGCTACCATTGGGCACATACTCATAAACCAAAATTGGAACATCAACTTCTAGGCAACACCCTATGAGCTTAACAATGTTCTTGTGCAAGACTCGAGATTGAATAATAACTTCGTTTACAAATTGGCCTGCTAATTTAACATCAATCTTGGGCTTCTTGACAGCTACTGGCTGAGTTTCATCTCTAAGATATCCCTTGTAAACCTCACCGAAGCCACCTTGCCCAATACGATTACTACTTTTAAGTGTTTGCTCCAGCTCCTTCTTCTTGAAGAGCTTAATCTTGTTAACTTCTTCTATTATAGGACCCCCATTCTTTCTAAAATAATCTCTCATCTTTCTTTTCTCTTTGGCAAGAAGACTGGCAAACACTGCAACTGCTATGATAAAAAATCCACCTATTGCACCTACATAAACAACAAAGAAACCAGGCCTGTAAAAGCCAATAAAATCTTCTAAACAATCGTAATTTGTGCAGTGCATGTACTGTTATTATCCGAATTTCTAAATAAAGCATTATGTGGGTAGGTCTTTCGATGATGTCATTATCTATCTGTTGGAACAATGATGTAAAAGTATTCAATATTCATATATATCAAGAATTTATATACACACAGAGTGGACCACCGTCAGGAGATGAAATATGGATCATATGTACCGATGGTGATTTTTGCTGCAAGCGGAAAATTGGGGTTGCAAGGATCATTAAACGGATCAGCACTGTGGGAACCACTGGGGCATTTGCATTCGTAGGAACCCAGTGTATTCCGGCAAACACCTCTGCATGGATACTCTTGATAACTTTCACACTCATTGATATCTGCATTGTTTACCAACTTCGTTTATTAGAACAATGGAAAACTATCCATATGGAAAGCCAACTTGAATTGCAACATGTTTTCATGTATATAAGTACGTGCTATATACTGGACTATTATTACCAATAATGATATAGAAAATGTGAATAAAATTTCAAGTTGCAACTTGATATTGGAATTCGAAAATAATACAAGAATTTGACTCCAAATTAAAATTAAACACTGCAACCTTCTGGCCGATCAAGTAAAAGAGAAGAAGCGTGCGTGGTGAACACTTACCGGTGCAACCGTTTGCAATATAGGGGTTGCCTTCGTAGCCCATGCTGCAGGTGCAGACATACCCAAACCCATTGGAGGAGTCACGACACTCACTGTTGGCGCTCACACAAGCATAGCTCTCTGCCCTCCTCTTTGCGTCGTCACACGTCATGTTGTCACGGATGGCCCAATCCAGCCACACAGGCATCATGGTGTTGGTTTCCATCTTCAGGTCAGCTGTGTGGAACGTGTAGTTGTCCCTGTCCACCAGGAAGGCATAGTCGCAGGGGCTGAAGCCCAGCCTTTTTTTGTGGGTGTACGCCTCGAAGTTCATCCTGTTGTCGGTGAGGCCCGGTGGGATGTCGAGACGACAACAGCCGACGCCAGCACAGGCGCCATTCATCGCGCTTTTTGAGTTGTTGCAGTAAGACATGCAGCCAGTGTAGTATCCATAGTCGTAGTCATTGCCCTCACTCCGCTGGCTCTGGGTGTAACCCAGGGTGTTGCAGCCTACGACAACAAGCTGGTTGCTGGCGTTGGAGATACGGTACACCTCTTCACGGTTGAACTGCACATCGCCGTCGCTCGAGGCATACACCAAGTCCGAAGAGTTGAAGCACTGCCACGCGACAGGCAGCATCACACGGGCCTCTGCCGTCCTGATGGAGAGGTGGTTGAGTGGAACGGGTTTCGTGGTGCCAACAAGCACCGGCCTGTCCAGACTGCGGTCACAGATGAGCTCGAAGCCCTTACGGAAGCAGCCCGCACCAATGCCGAATGGATATTGGATGGCTATGCCTCCACAGCTGTCTGGGCATCCAGAGGTGCTCTCAGCCTCAGGAGTAGAACTGAAAGCTGTTAATGCCACTAGCAGTAGCAGTAAATATGGATGCAAGATTAACATTGTCGGCATTACTTTGTTGCTTTTTCTGACGAACCAATTGCGATTCAGTGGCTTACTGAATTCTTCAAGGAGTCATCACCTCATTACTCCTGATAAAGGGATAATTAGGTCACATCAACGTGTAGCGTAGAAGAGGATTTCTTCTTCTTCTTCTTCTTCTTTTTTTTTTTGATAATGACTGAACCATTATCTTTTGTTAAAGAACTCCAACTATTTGTTCCCTTATTTTATAATATATGGCAGTTTAGATCATGAATAGTTCTATTTTGTCAAAAAGAAGAAGTACAAAGCAGTCTCCAATTCGTCGGAAGCAATCATCAGTGATGGTTCAGAACTGTCATAAAAATAGATTTGGAGCCATCATGACAGATCAATATTTAGGGTCAGTGTTACCACAAACGGTTTTTTGAACCATGTATAAAATTTGTAACTGATGGAGTTTGAAGCTAGAACTGTCTGTGACAGTCTATTAGCACCAACGAGATAGTTGTGCAAGACTTTTTTTAGATAATGGGTTGTACAAGACTTAAAAAGAGGGTAATTTTGCAGTAATTAGGTGCTCTCAAAGCGGAGGAAAATAACAAGAACGATATGTGTAAAAAAGATTATGTAGGAATACTTTGCAAAAACGTCTATGGCCATGAAAACACAATGAGATGGCAAAAAGAATCTGCAAAGCCAGGTCCAGCAGAGACAGAGATCATCATGATAGTGGCATGATACAATTCAAATGGTTTGACAAAAAATCATTGGAGGTAACAACGTTTAAATCTCCCAGCAGAAGTCATGAAGTAGTTGGTAGGCGGAAGATACCTTCGGAAAGAAGAGTCTTAGCATAAACAATTGATCTAATGACTCTGCTCCGATCCCACCACGCTCTCACAAAGGAACGCCTGAAAAGTACATTCCATTATGCATGCCTCCCACCGCCCAAAACTGCAAGAAATTCACCAAGAATTAACAGGACATCGACTGCTGAAATTCTAAGAATAAATCAATCCGCTTGGCGAGATTTCATAACACAAGAAGTGAACATTTCCGATTCACCTTGGCGAATTGGGGGAAAGAAGTGGGAAAGGAGCAAGGGGTTGCCTGCGTCTCCTACTGCAGGGCTCAAGGCGGCGAGCAGCACGCAGGACTGCAGGAGAAGCGCCGGAAGAAGAAGAGTTGAGGGCAACGGAGGTGGGGAAACGCCGGAGCGGGACGCCTGGCTGAGCTTCTGACAACTATACATTGTTGGAGTTCCGTCAAGTCTTCCCTGAAGCTGCTGATCCCTCTGTGAACTACTTGCCTTACATGTGGTTTTCATAGTGAATGGGCGTGCCAGACATTGTAATCTTCACGACTGATTCTTCTGTCTTGAATTGAGATGTGGACATGCTCTGACTTCTAACCATGAACAAGTCGCAAAAAAAAAGAGACTTCTGACCATGAAGCAATGCGTACCTGCGAAACACAGCAGCCCAATGTGCTCAAAGGCAGTCCATAGGGATTAAACTATTCCTTAGAGACCGGCTGAAACACTATAAAAGAAATAATAGAGCAGTCCATAGTAAAACTCACACGGAAGCCTAAGGACCGTCCATATGCAATCTGATCTTTCTCCATCGCGGCCGTCGAGACTGCCGTCGTCGACAGAATATTGTCGGCAGTTTTCGAGAGGTATTCCATGAAGGTAGATTGATTGGCAGAGATATGTGTAATCGAGAACAAGAAGGCAATAGAGACACACGAGTTAGACAGGTTCAGGCCGTCAGTATGACGTAATACCCTACTTCCGTGGTCTGTTGGATTGTATTGACTATCGTATGATATTGCGTGTGTTTGGAGGGGGTCCCTGCCCGCCTTATATAGTCTGGGGGCAGGGTTACAAGTCGATTAGATGTAGGAGATAACCGGAAAGTAATAACATATTACAGGAATCATGGGATCATACGTATCCTAACAGATCTCGTAGTATCTTCAGGATATCTTTCCGGTGTCTTGCGGGATGCGCCGAGCAGCGCCGTGCCCCGCAAGGCTTCGTCTTGTGGGCTGGGCCGCCCCTAAGGGCACAGCCCATGTGGTCTGCCATGGGTATCCGGGTTCGTACCCCCCACAGCTAGTCCCTGAGCACCTTGTATCCGTTGTGCAACGCCGTCTTGAGCTTGTCCGAGCAGGTGCGAACAAAGCCGAGCAGTCAAACTCATGGTCCAACCACCGTGATGAGTTGCCGAGCAGTTGTGAACTGTCGTCGAGCAGTATGAACCGTTGCCGAGCAGCGCATCCCAAGTTAGGCTTGCCATAAGGATGTAAGGAGCTCAAGTTCAAAATCGAAAATTTCCTCGCAGTGGACCAAGTGTGCCCACTTAGAGTCCGACCACGAGAAAGGGAAATAGTCTTCTTCAGCTTCGGGAGGCGCAGAGTCTTCTAGATTAAAGCAAACACACTCATCGCGAAATGAAGTGTACCCACTTAGTCACCGAACCTGACAGTAGGTGACGTAGTCACATGGTGCCAAGGTTCAAAGTAAAGAAAAGCACAAGACCAGCCGAGCAGGCAGCCAGTCCCCGGGTGTGGCCCCAAAATGAAAAAAGCACATTCACCGCAAGGTGAAGAGTACCCACTTAGTCCTCGAGCCTGACAGTAGGTGACGTGGTCACGTGGTGCCAGGGTCAAAAACAGTAAACAGAAGAAAGTCCTCAGTGCGGTGAGGAACCAAGTCGTGTTGATGACGTAGTCCCTGAGCCACAAGTGGAAATCTTGGAGAAAACAAATCGAGGAGAAAAAACCGGTGTAACTGCTGTACAGTAGTAATTACTGAGCCGTAACAGATGACGGAGAAGTAAGCGAATATTCGATGAGAAGTAACAAATTACGATGATAAATGGGCGACACAGGCTACAGTTACGCGAAAGCCCAGGTAACAGCCCACCAGACTGTTGCGAAGAATTCGGAGGGGCGCAAATCGTGGAGCGGTTTCCCAAACACCCTCGAATGCGAAAGATGGAGGGAGTGCTTTATAACTGCGCCATCGCACCCCGCGCTCCCACCTTTGCCACTTTGCCATTTCATCTTCCTCCTCAGCCCTCGCACTTCTAGATTCACATGCGCTTCTGCCGCCAATCCCAAACTAGATCTGAGAGATGACGCCGAAGAAAGGAGCTGGAAACCCGAAGAAGTCGACCGCCGGAGCCAGCCATGACAACGAGTGGGTGTCGTCGAACATGGGGGAGGCGGAGATCAACAGGATGGTGGAGGCGGGGGTTCCTTCTGACCGCATCATCGCCGGATGGCGGCCAGCCAGCGATGAGCCATTCCTGATGCCGCATACTGACGAAGTAGTAGTTTTTGAAGATTATTTCTGGCGCGGGTTAGGTTTTCCCGTTCATCCTTTCTTGAGGGACCTGTTGGGGTTCTGGAGAGTGAGTCTATGCAACCTCCACCCAAACACCATCTTGCACATCTCTATCTTTATCCATTTCTGTGAGGCATATCTCGGAGTTCTTCTTCACTTCAACCTCTTCCGTCATCTATTCTGGCTGAAGAAGAAGGGTGGCGGCGGTTCGAAGGTGGTCGGCGGCGTTTTTCTTCAACTTCATGATGGAATGGTGGGCGAGTACATCACTGTACCACTGAACACCTCGCTGAAGGGGTGGAACGCCAGGTGGTTCTACATGAAGTAGAGCCATCCCGCCATCCGCTGCGACGTCGACCACGTTCCGAAGAACCAAAGGAGCATGTAACACCTCGGTGTTAAGCATGCATTAACATTTTGCAAATCATGAGCATAATCATTATTATGCATGCATACGCATGACATGAAATATAGAATGGAAACATACTAATGAAACATGTATGTAGCATAGTTTTGTTTTACTAGATTGGGTGCTATGTTTGTTTTGCCATGTGTGCATGAAACGTGTGAAACATGACTATGAAACAAATGTAACATTTTAATTGTTTTTCATTGTTTCAGTACATACAGTGCTTGATTCTTGTGTGACCAATGTGTGATGTGGCTAATAATTCTCTTAAACAACTTAGTGACACCTAGAATGTCATTTGGAACAATGTTCATGTTGATCATATTGCCTAATTACACTTCCAAGTAATAGTTTGACTTGTGTTGACCCGTGGAGCTCTGCTGTTTGACTGTTTAAGAAGTATAGCTTAGAGTGTTTGCATGTCTGAGCAACCTAAAACAAAGTTGTAGCAAATTATATAAGTAACAAATTTTGTTTAGAGGTCAAGTCATGAAAACGTGCACAACATGCTCAAAAAGTTCCCACAAGTCAGTTTTGGGGGCAATTTGGTGACTTAGAATTTTTCTAAGTCTTGGGACCGATTTTCAGTTTCATGTACCGATGTTTGGAGCCCTGTATCTCCCTAACCAGGCCGAACTAGCTCAAGTTCCAATTGGAAAAGTTGTAGTCCTCACTTAGATCTCCAACTTTGTCAACTATGCTAGGAGCAAGATCAGCACGGTTTAGAAGATATGGATCGATGTTTTTGCTCTGTCAGTCGGCCGTTGGGCTCTGAAACGAAAAATTCAGGCGGGCCAGCTGGCCGACATCGTCAGGCCGCGACGGCCAAGTGGTGGCCGTACGCCGGTGCTGCCCCCGCCAGTCAGGTTGTTGCTGCCACGCCAATGCCACGTGCCCGACGGCTCGCTTAATTGCTTCGTCCACGCCTCCTCACCTCGCCAGTTCGCCATAAGCAAAGCACCGCGCCTTCGCCATTGCCGAGCAGCGCCGCCGTTGCGCAGCTCCTTCGCTGGCCAGCCACTGTGTAATCGCTCGCACGCATAGAAGCGCCCTGCACTGATCTACTCGCTCGAGCTCTCCGTAGTCGTGTTCGTGGCTAGGTGAGGGCCCATTTGCCGATCCTGTAACTTCCGCCCTGACCGGCGCCTCGCCGAAGTGCGAGCTCGCCGTGGAACTTGCTGACCAGCGCTCTTCCATGTTCTTTTTTTTCTTCTACGTCATCTTCTCCATCATGTGTAGTTGTTCTAGTGAAGATGTTTCCGA